GGACATTGGATGAGTTTCACTTACAGCGTGGATGAGTTTCCCTTACACAGCGAAGCTAACAAACTGGACATTGGATGAGTTTCACTTACACAGCGAAGCTAACAAACTGGACATTGGATGAGTTTCACTTACAGCGAAGCTAAAAAAAACTGGACATTGGATGAGTTTCACTTACAGCGAAGCTAACAAACTGGACATTGGATGAAGGCTTGGTGATGGCTGTGATGATCTCTTCACAACCCTCCATAGAAAGTGGATTCTGTCCTAACTGGAATAAAGAGTAATAAATCTATTATCTTAACTGCACCAATGCATTTGGTAGTTTAGTGTTGCTTAAATGTTGGTGGATTCATTTCACATTTAAAAAAAAAACAACAAAACATATGAGCGAAAAATTTCTAAGATTCTCCGTTAAAAAACCTGCATCTTTAAAGTACGGCATTGAAATGTTTTAATCAATGGCGATGATTTAATATTTATTAGTGTTGAGTTTGTTTATTGGAGCTATACCAATTACGTCATTATATTTATGTTAACTTTCATCTTCCTATTATGTGATCTTTAATATTACTTCCTCTTCCTGTCAAATTTAATATCTTTAAAGAAAAAACAACAAGCAGACCAGCCAGAGCTCATTATACCTCCTCCTCCCCCCCCCCCCCCCCCCCCCCCCGAGCCACCATTGCCAACTCCAATTAGGAAAACTTTGGGCCGTGAAGCGGTACGTCAGAAGTACTCCGCCGCTGAGACAGCCCCGACCACCATCTACCCGATTGGCCAATCAAGTGGGGCAATATCAACCAAAGAGCACCTGGTCGGTTGGTAGTGCTGCTCCCGCAACACCAGCAATCGAACTTTCTAAATTCTAATACTGGGATGGATATTTTAACGTCTTAACAATACGCCCCTTCCCCAATCTTAGTATGGGATCAGACACCCACACTCTCTCTTGGGGTTTGTACAAACGAAGTGGCTATTCGCACCCGGGTATCAGAAGTAAGAGGTTGGGGTTGAAAAAACTATTTAAAATATTGTTGTTGGGTTTGTAAGAACAAATGAGGTGTCAAATGGAAGATAATTGAATTGAATATTTGTTTGTAAACTTACTTCTTCGGTTTAACTAAAATAAACTACCACAAATGACATTCGAATGGAATTTAGTCTAAAGGGACCCGGGTCCGATTAGCGGCTATGCGTACTGCAGTGAGTACTTCTAAGATTAAAGGACTGGAACAATCTTTCAAAAGGAACGGTTGAGGCGACAACACTAGACACATTTGTGTCTATTGCCTCAAGCCTTCAAACCCCTAGTGCATGATTTCCTCACAAAGTGGCACTGGAAATCAGTGAAATATCCTCATCAACACCAGGAACAGAAACATTGCAAATCCCATCTACATGCATAGGAGCCAAAATGATCAATAAATTGATCGTGGGCCCTAAAGATATAGGAGAAGAAGAAGAAGATCTCTAAACTTGTGTTTGTAATATTGGAGTGTGCACCTCTAAGATATCTACTAAACTTGTGTTTATAATTTGGAGTGAGTGCCTCTAAGATCTCTAAACTTGTGTTTATAATTGGAGTGTGTACCTCTAAGATATCTACTAAACTTGTGTTTATAATTGGAGTGAGTAACTCTAAGATCAGTAAACTTGTGTTCATAATTGGAGTGAGTACCTCTAAGATCTCTAAACTTGTGTTCATAATTGGAGTGAGTACCTCTAAGATCTCTAAACTTGTGTTCATAATTGGGGTGAGTATCTCTAAGATTTCTAAACTTGTTTTTATAATTGGAGTGAGTACCTCTAAGAACAGTAAACTTGTGTTCATAATTGGAGTGAGTACCTCTAAGATCTCTAAACTTGTGTTCATAATTGGAGTGAGTACCTCTAAGATTTCTAAATTTGTTTTTATAATTGGAGTGAGTACCTCTAAGATCTCTAAACTTGTGTTCATAATTGGAGTGAGTACCTCTAAGATCTCTAAACTTGTGTTCATAATTGGAGTGAGTACCTCTAAGATCTCTAAACTTGTGTTCATAATTGGAGTGAGTACCTCTAATATCTCTAAGCTTTTGTTCATAATTGGAGTGAGTACCTCTAAGATCTCTAAACTTGTTTTCATAATTGGAGTGAGTACCTCTAAGATCTCTAAACTTGTGTTCATAATTGGGGTGAGTACCTCTAAGATCTCTAAACTTGTGTTCATAATTGGAGTGAGTACCTCTAAGATCTCTAAACTTGTGTTCATAATAGGAGTGAGTACCTCTAAGATCTCTAAACTTGTGTTCATAATTGGAGTGAGTACCTCTAAGATCTCTAAACTTGTGTTGACACTCAGCGATTTGCTCAAGTAAGGGGCACAATCCCAGTTAATTCTGTTATTTTCCAAGTTAAGCCTCCGGAGTGACTTGTTAGATCTCAGTGACTCCCCCAATGCCAAACTGCCTTCAAATGCAATGCCATTCCATGAAAGGTCAAGGTCTGCTATGGACGTATTTTTCTGAAAGTGGAATGATTTAAATTTAAAACTCATCTTATTTTTGTGACTTATTTATGATACCTTATTTTAAAAAAATGTTCTAAAGCAGGGGTCTCAAACTCGTGGCCCGCGGGCCATTTGCGGCCCGCACGACGATATTTTACGACCTGCTAACTGACAGCAAAGTTTAGCGTTAATGTGGCCCGCGCGTTTTCCCCAATCTCTATAATGTGATACTCCGCGACGGTTTCAGTCGAATCTCACCGACTAGTCTAAATCTGATTTTTATTGTGTTTGTATAGATTTGGACGTTGATTATGATAATAAAAACCGTTTTAGAATCGAACTACGCGTTTTTATTTTATAGCACGTTATGAGACAAACGTGGCTAAAGCGCGGTTTCGAGAAGAGATTAAAAAATCAGTTGGTGGTTAATGCACAACTACAATGTGTTAAATCGTAGCAACCTGACACAGTATCAAAGAATCCTCTTAAAATTGCCGCCTAGTGTTTACGAGTGAGTGAAATGCCAAGCATGTTAGCTTGGTCACTTTCAAAATAGGTTTCGTCAAAAAGGCCCTCTATCCGATAAAAGAAAATCAAACTTCATCCTCCCTTCAAGAGCATCTTCCTTCGTATAAATAATACATGCATTTTGTCTGCACCGGCTTGCTGTTTGAACACGTTTTAGCATTTAAAGCCTTCATGGAGAAGGATGGGGTCGTTGTTCCTGTAATAAGAGATCCTAAATGGCTCATGGGCAGGGCTTTTTCGTGGTGATGTTATACAGGAGATGAATGTACTTAACAAGAAGTTACAGGACCAGGGGTAGATTGTCAATGTTGTCTATGACAGTGTCAGGGCATTCTGCATAAAACGTGTGTTATTGTTCTCAGAGAACCATTTCCCAACATGCAAAGTTCTTATGGACTCAAGCACACCATTCAGTATAAGTATTCTGTTGCCATTGCAAAAAACTACAGGAAGAATTTGACCACAGATTTTCAGTCTTCAAAACACACGCATCCTCATTTCAACTTTTTGCTGACCCTTTCTCCTTTATTGTGGAAGATTGCAAAACCCTAGCCCCCCCCCCTGCCCCCCCACCCCCAACTTTTTTTTTCGCTTCAAATTTGACCCCAGATTTTCAGTCTTCAAAACACACGCATCCTCATTTCAACTTTTTGCTGACCCTTTCTCCTTTATTGTGGAAGATTGCAAAACCCTAGCCCCCCCCCCTGCCCCCCCCCCCAACTTTTTTTTTCGCTTCAAATGGAGATGATTGAACTTCAGTGCAAGTTCAGAGACGTGACTAGAAACACAGACAAGCATGCAAAATTTGTGACAGGATTGCCCTCCACCTTCCCTGAGATTTCCTGGTTAATGCCCCTTTTTTGAGAGTAGGTCTACCTATGTGTGACCTAACAAGTCAAAGTTCAGGGCCAAACTTACTGCTGAGCATCTTCAAGGTATACTGAGAGTCTCAGTGGCGTCCTCACGCATGCCAAATGTTGCTCAGCTGTGTATCTAGAAGAGCTGCGACGTCTGTGGCAACCAGGAGTAGGAGGATGAAAGTGAAGCCTGGTTCTTGACAACCCTTACAACCCTTAATGTTTTTATGTGTTATTAAAAAAGGTTGAACACATTGTAACGGTTGTACTTTGATGAATTTATTGTTATCGCTTTTTGTGTGGACTACTTGATGCGTCCCAGTCTCACTCAGACTTTACCTCCTGCGGCCCCCGGATAATTTGAGTTTGAGACCCCCTGTTCTAAAGCCTTCTAAGTCTATATTGATTATGACATTTTCATTTGTTGAGAATTGTTATCATATTATTATTCCAAATGAACAAAGCAAATTCCTTACTGCCAGCATTGTAATAGTTCTTTTATTTAATTTGTCTCCTTTTGAAACTAGCAAGCAGAAATATGATGTGTTATAAATAAAAGTTTTTGTTTCAGAAATCAACACAAACAAGGTTTGCCTATTTATATATATAAAAAGCTCACCATTTAGTCTATTTAGAATTCAAGCACGAAAAATTCATTTTAAAATGTAAGAATTACAAGGCAATTTAAAAAAAACAAAAAACTTTAGCTCGAAAAAGGGGACATTTTAGCTGCAAGCTGTTGCACACAAAAAGGGTGACATTTTACCTGCAAGCTGTTGCACACAAAAAGGGTGACATTTTACCTGCAAGCTGTTGCACACAAAAAGGGTGACATTTTACCTGCAAGCTGTTGCACACAAAAAGGGTGACATTTTACCTGCAAGCTGTTGCACACAAAAAGGGTGACATTTTACCTGCAAGCTGTTGCACACAAAAAGGGTGACATTTTACCTGCAAGCTGTTGCACACAAAAAGGGTGACATTTTACCTGTAAGCTGTTGCACACACCAACTGCACCACCACCACGAATATGGTTCCAACTTAGATTGACAATTTTCAGAGTGCTGTTTTCTCCTAGATTTCAAACAAGAAAAATAAACCCATGTCACATAAGAGAGTTGATTACTTTAGACTTTAGAGTTATTGCTCATCTAAAAAATCTAATCAATGGCTACTCTTCGATTATGGCTGGCTTTAAACTCTCCACGCCTGACTGACTTTCACATCTTCACATCTGGTTGGCTCTCAACTGTCCACACCTGGCTGGATTTCAACTGACCACACATGGCTGGCTTTCAACTCCCCACTTCTGGCTAGCTTTAAATTTTCACGTCTGGCTTTCTTTCAACTATCAACGTCTGGTTGGCTTTCAACTATCAACGTCTGGCTGGCTTTCAACTGTCCACACCTGGCTGGCTCTCAACTGTCCATACCTGGCTGGCTTTCAACTATCAACGTCTGGCTGGCTTTCAAATGTCCACACGGGGCTGGCTCTCAACTGTCCACACATGGCTGGCTTTCAATTCTCCATGCCTGGTTGGCTTTCAACTATCCACACCTGGCTGTCTTTCAACTATCCACACCTAGCTGGCTTTAAACTCTACACGTCTTGTTGGCTTTCAACTCTCCACGTCTGGCTGGCTTTCAACTCTCTACATCTGCCTAGCTTTCAACTCTCCACGTCTGCCTGACTTTCAACTCTCCACATCTGGCTTGGCTTTCAACTCTCAACTTCTGGTTGGCTTTCAACTCTCCACGTCTGCCTGGTTTTCAACTCTCCTCATCTGGCTTGGCTTTAAACTCTCTACTTCTGGTTGGCTTTCAACTCTCCACGTCTGCCTGGTTTTCAACTCTCCTCATCTGCGTGGCTTTAAACTCTCTACTTCTGGTTGGCTTTCAACTCTCCACATCTGCATGGCTTTAAACTCTCTACTTCTGGTTGGCTTTCAACTCTCCACATTTTCCTGGGTTTCAACTCTCCACGTCTGCCTGACTTTAAACTCTCCACATCTGCATGTCTTTCAATTCTCCACATCTGGCTGGCTTTCAACTCTCCACATCTGGCTGGCTTTCAACTCTCCACATCTGCCTGGCTTTCAACTCTCCACATCTGTATGGCGTTCAACTCTCCACATCTTGCTGGCTTTCAGCTCAATACGCCTGGCTGACGTTCAACTCTACACACCTGACTGGCTTTCAGCTCAACACGTCTGGCTGACGTTCAATTCTCCATATCTGGCTGGCCTTTAACACCCCAAATCTTGCTGGCTTTACTAGACACTATTGTAGTTAACTTATTGTAACAAAGGGATTTCTACAATCTTTACCAGTATATACCAACTTTTTTTTCAATCCTTAAGTTGCAGATTTTAAAATAAATCCAGGAGAATAAACTACAGATATTTTAGTTCTTTCTTTAATACTTAGGGATTTTTAGTTTTGGGGTTATCATGGCTATGGGGGTCCATAGATATTTTTAGGCTAGGCCTACAACGAGGTGGGTGAGTTAGGATGAATGGAAGATTTAATTTTAAAACATCTTGGTCTTTTTTTACAATCAACCTATCTTCAATTTTGATGTCCATATGCTTCACCAAACTACATCTAAATGCCAAGGAAGGCAATATCAGTTTATCTATAGCGCAAGACAAGATCAGTACATCTATAGCGCAAGTAAGGCAGGTCAGTACATCTATAGCGCAAGACAAGTTATGTACATATATAGTACAAAGAAGACAAGATCAGTACATCTATAGTGCAAAGAAGACAAGATCAGTACATCTATAGTGCAAAGAAGACAAGATCAGTAAATCTATAGCACCAGACAAGATCAGTACATCTAAAGCACAAGACAAGATCAGTACATCTATAGCACAAGACAAGATCAGTACATCTATAGCACAAGGAAGGCAAGATCAACTGTTGTAACTGTACTGTAAATCCAAAGTTGGCTCGACGTCTATTGTAGCTCTATGTATACCTAAGGCTCGACCTAACAGCATTCCTCCCGACAGTCCAATTTGGTTTCTGCTCAAATTTAATTTCTGGAGGCCATGGTTTTCCTGGACGTAACGAGACAGAGTATATATGGTCAGAATTTGAAATAATAGATTATAGAATATTCAATGATAGAACATTCACTGATAGATCATTCCATGATAGAACACTTCATGATAGAACATTCAATGGTGAGATCACTATTCTTAAAATACTTATTGAATCCAAGGCACAAGAAATAAATGTTACTAGTAACAGAAGAAATGGTCAATAAATTGACTTCACGTTCATCTTAACAAGATGGGAAAAACTAAAATTTTAAATAAAACGAAAGTAAAGAAGAACTGATGTGTGATCCAATATGAAAGTGAATTGTCATTGCTGGATTCCGGTTTACCTTGATGCCTTGAGAAATTGTGGCGATGTCACTGTCACTGATGCAGCATTCTAATGGAGATAAAACAAAGAATTCCATAACACGTCGGTTATGTTCAATTCTTCAGGAAAGGAAACAATAGTCATTATAAAATGTTTACTGACACAACCCTTGACTGGTTTGATGAGCTATTCAACTCTCGTTTGCGAGATCTGCTTCTCCTTCTAAATTTTGAGGGCCTACGATCAATTTAT